TGTAGTGTTTGACCCATCTTTGCTTCTAGGCGGTGCTCTACACGATCAGAGAATCTTCTCTAGTAACGAACTATAGAAAAGATCCCTGAAAGTATAGTCTTTGAAGGCATGTTTTTTAAGTATTGCAGTTTAGCGGGGAAAAAATGGAAAATGGGGTAAAGATTTGAAAAATGCTTTACTTGGGAATCATCTTTTATTCATAAAGATTTCTTCTTTTATAGTTGATGGAGAAACTTGTGATTTGTCTTTGAATATAACCTGGTATCTCAAAAGTGCTGACTGTTACAATGAAATCTATAGCTTCAAGGTAAGGAAAATAAATTACAAACTTTTCTTGGGCTTTAGAGATCATCGGGCCCCAACCTTTTAATTTTATAGAGGAAGGAATCATTTGTAGTATTTTGCATGTGTGCCATTTGTCTCAAAAATAAGTGTACTCAAAAGATCCCGACAAAAATAAGTATCCTTGAAGACCCAGATTTAATAACATGAATATTTTTTTGCTGTCTAATTAGGGCCTTTCTTACATAAAAATTTTTTTTAAGCTTCAATTTTGTCACTGAAGAGTACTATGGCTACTGATATAGTTAAGTGCCACACCTTAGTTGCTGATAAGGGCATCAGCTTTACCTACCCTTACTTTTGCACTGTCAGCTCAAAGCACATAACATGATGATGAAGATGATAGTGTTTGACCTCAGGCCTCATGAAAGAGTCCATGGGCTACACTTCCCGGATTGCCATGCACACTGGAGTTAAGCATAGGAGATGTGTGGTGCCAGCCCCAGCCTTTCCAAGGAGTCTGCTATACAGTCAAGTTTTTATACCTTAAGCATATTGAATTTCTGCTTGGCATTAGGGTTTTACAGCATCTTTTTTATGTTGTTGTTGATTGCTTTTTGCTTTTTTTAAACTCAGCACTAGGTAGGATTAATACGATGAGGACTGATGAATTTAGAAATGATAGTATATAGAATTTGCAGTGTGGCTGGTACTTTTCTCTTAATCAGTCACTTATTAATTTATAGTTAAAGACCTTGATAAACTGATCAAGAGCTTGCAGATCCTGTCTTCATAAGTAGTTAGGTTACTGTATATTAAGTCATACATGTAACATGTTAACAAAAAATTACTGTTGAGTGACATAAGACAAAATCATGAAAGTGGCAAACCAGTAGTTGGAAATGTGAAATTTGGGCTTAGTAAAAGAGGGCAAGATTAGGCATATAGGCATGAGAAAACTAATAGGTGAAGTGACAGAAATGATGAGTTTTTAGAGTATCAATAGAGGGCTGTAAATGATTATGACATTTTTGTGCTCTTAAGCTTTTGAACACAAGTGTAACTTTTTGTTGGTGTTGTTAATTTATAAAATTTTGTATGTTTGTTTTTTGTGTTATAACCTGCTGGAATCTTGACAGTCACCCTGTCTTCCCAGAGAATTTACCCTCTGTGAACCATAGACTAGAAATCTGCACTTTAGATTCTAATACTTAGATTCTTGGGTACTATTATGTAGATACTATTATGCATTCTTGGTACTACTATGTGGTCTGTTAAATTTTTCAGACAGCAAACCCAGAAATACAGGTGATCTACTTGTCAACTTCTAAAAATCTTATTTGTAAAAGGTAAGTTTACTACTTTGTGTTTTCTCTATTTTTCTAGGCTGGAGAGGTGGAGACCTATTTGGACAAACTTAAGGGGAAAAAAGGCTTGTCTGGGAAATACCAAACATCATCAAAATTATTCCAAAACTGCAGTGAACTCTTTAAAACACAGGTAACATTTGATACTGTTTGCATGGAATAGAGGTTACAAACTGTGATGTCTATGTTGTGGGTGATGACCATTTCCTGCCCCACAATTCTTTCTTCTGACAAACAAGTTAGAAACACGTTGTGGTAGTTTGTGGTAATTGCATAGTCAGCCACGTACACATCCATCGTATCAAGGAGGGTTTGCTTTCCGTATTTGTAAAAAGCGAACATAACACAAAATTTGTTGTGGTAAAGTATATATAACATAAAATTTACTGTTTTAACTTTTTTTAAAAAAAGATTTATTGGCCCTCCCTGGTGGCGCAGCGGGTTAAAAGCACAGCACTGAGAATCTGAGGCCACTTCCGCACGAGTTCGATTCCCGCCT